TGTTGCTTTTTACTTATTTGTGTTGCTAATATTGTGACTCACACTTTCTCTAATGCTATACATTCAGTAAAACAAATTACTGCAATTATGAACATTCACTAGGTTACCCTCCCAACCAGAGGGGCTAGAAACCAAATTTGATTTTAATCAAAAGAGTAGAGTCTGTGTAAAACATCACCCCCATCCGCAGAAAACTGCAGCATGGCCCCTCTTGACATAGGCTAGCCTCAGAACCACTGGCACAGACCACTAAAAGCGCACACTCTTTTAGCACACAGTGGAACATTAGAACAATAGACCACACATCATCCAATGGACCATTGGGGGATGAGTCCAATAGAGCACCCAATCGATGTTCAAAGTTTACCAGTCAATTTATAATTGAAAAAGTCTAAAATAGAAAATGTTTCAAGGCAGATCTCTTCTGCCCAACCCCCAGAGGAAATAGGGGGTGCTACCTAGAGAGGTAATTTAATTCACAATGGCTCAAATACCAAGGCAAAGAGAGTGGTATCAATGCCTACGTAGGAAGGCTTGTCCAGTGGTTAGAGCACTAGCTGAGGCTCTGGTTTCAATTCCCAGCTCCGTCACAGACTTCCTGTGTGACCTTCGGCAAGTTGCTTAGGTTCTCTGTGACTCAGTTCCCCATCTGTCAAATGGGGAGAACAGCCCTGCTGCACTTCCTAGAGATGTTGGGAGGATAATTACATTAAAGAACGTGAGAGGTTCAGATACAATGTTAATGGTGGCCATATAAATATCATAGATCGATTAGATTCGATAGCACTTACTTGTACTATGTTTGGCTGTTTGTTCACCGGGGTATCATCCAATCTGTCCCTTCTATGATCCAGCACAGGATGTGGGCCATTTCCGTACTGACACTTAAAACAGGAGTCGGCATCACAGCCCAGATCCATTAGAAATTTGAGGAGACTGAGGTACTTCATTGAAAACATGATGGTGGCTGGGAAAGTAGTGGGATGGCTAGAAATGTACGCATCAATATTCGCCCCGTGGTCTAAAAGCAGCTTCATGGTTTTCAGGCAACCGTGGCGAATGGAGATTAGCAGGGGGTTGATAAGATCGATGTTGGGGTTGGCGCCGGCTTGCAGCAGCAGCTCTGTGGCGTAGATGTTATTGTTAATGACGGCGAAGTAGAGGACGGTGCTGCGCCTGTCCTCGTAGAGCCGAGCTCTCTCAAAGGAGAGGGTGGTGTTCACATCATAGCCGGCCTCAATTAGCTCTTCCAAGATGTCATTGTTGTTGCGCTCAGCCGCAAGATGGAGTGGACTGATCCCGCTGCGCTTGACCCGAGTGCGGCTGGTCACGGGGAGCAGCATTTTGACTATCCTGCAAGAAGGGGATTCAGTGGATAACTTAGCCTTAGACAATCTACAGCAAATAATAGCGAGGTGGTTATTAGCACAGGAGTGAGCCAGCTGCTCATGAAAGTGAAGGACCGATAACACAGGCATGAGCTGTACAGCCCCTTTCCCCACAACTCGGCCAGTGCATTTTCATCCTGACAGGGTGGGGTTAGGAGCAGAGGAGCTGCCAGGCTGGGTCAGACACAACGTCCATCTGGTCCAAGAGGCCTCTGACAATGGCCAGCATAAGATGCTTCAGAGGAAGGAGTAAGAACTCAGCAGTAGGCAGATGTAGGATAATCTGTCCCCACATTAGGTCTCACCGTAGTCCCTAAAAATTAGGATTAGCTTTGGCCCTGATGCATTTCTATGCATTGATTTTTCACAATGCTTCCAACGAGAGAGAGGGCAAAGCCAGAAGCTCAGTTCTGAGCTCATCGGTGGAGGATTATATTCAGGTCCCAGGATCCAAGCCAGCGTTACAGTTCTGGTGCTAAATCCAACTCCCGGCCCTGGGCACCCCTCTGAAGCCCTTCACTCAGTGGGTATTGGGAGGGGCAAATCCATGGGGCTATCTGAGTAAACCCAAGCTGGACCGGTTGTGATGAGCCAAAAGGACAATTAGGAATTAAAATAAAATAAAGAACCAAAGCCGTTTTCCAGGCAAATTGCCAAGCATTAGCACAGAGGGGAAAAAATGTACAGCTAAATTATAAACCTCAGTAAACAGGAATTTCTGTTGGAAACAATGGTGCTTCCTTAACAACTCAAACAGAGCTGCCATCATTCTACAGCCTTCACAATAAAAGTGTGATGAGTATTAAACATACTGGCCATCTTTAGCTTGACTGCAATGGCAGTTGCTCAGCATATCCCATGATCAGGAGATGTACAGGATAAAGCCAACTAAATAGTAATGATTATGACTTTTAAAGCATCTGATGATGCCATGTGCTTCGCTGCTCCTGAGTGGTGCTAAGCCCCCTCTACTCAGATTAAAATGAGAGTTGGAGACATGTAGAACCTTATATGCCTATTTACAGGGTGGACTATGATGTCTCCCATGGCAAGTTTATAGCCACACCATTATTCATAGACCTGAAGAAGTTTTGTCTTTATTTCAGGAAAAAATCCAAAGCCTATAGAGGAAATTTCCACCCAGAGCCTTTCTCAAAGTGGAGAGACTGACCTCATGTAACAAAGATGCTCACCAGAATCCAGGCAATTTCGGTGCTGCTTAGATGGCTACCATCCATCTCCAACAAATGCTTCGTAATAGCCATAAAAGCAAAAAAAGCACATGCAGCACTGCGATGACACCATGCCAAGTGCCAGCATTAGTCATCCCATGATTTACTGGGTTTTATTAAGATTTAAGGGTTGCTTTTGTTCTCTTGCTCAGGAAGTGAATGTGCTCAACCCAGCTCTCTGTATCTGATTGAAAGGATGCAGCAGCGTTTAGAGAGGGGCCTGAAGAACCCTGAACTCCGAGGGTGTTTGAAATCCATGCTTGGCTCTGGATCTGAATTTTGCAAATGTCCCCTCTCTTGCTAACGTGTCAAACCCAAAGCCCAAATCCAAAGCCTCCTGCATTTATTTTAGGATTGGGGATGGGGAACACTAACATCGGTATCAGGAACCTAATTTTGCAGCTGGAGCCCATCTCTCTTTCTGTTCAGCATGACCGTGCCTCCACAACGGCAGACTCTACTTCCTATTCAAAGGTGAGGGGTTCTTCCCAGTGAGAGACAGCCAAGCAAAGCCAATTACTGCTTTACATGACAACCCAAGGCCACCTCCTTCACAGGGCCACCTGAGTGCCATACCCACACTGGAAGTGATGCTGGATTGCCCATGGTCCCTACCACCTGACCCTTTCTGCTACCTGCTACCAGGGATGCTGGAACTAGGGATGCGGGAAATGCAGCGCCCCCGGCTTGAAATGGTTTCCATCATATACATGGTTTTTGGTTTTGTTCAATGTCTTTCAGCACCCCACTGTACAAATTGTTCCAGTGCCACTGCCGGCTGCATTGCCTCCCAGCTGCTGTAGATAATAGGATGCTAATACAAATGCACCTAGCGATTGACTGCCATCTTTAATAAGTCAAAATAAATCACAAACAAATTCTGCCCTTCTCCACCACCACTCCTGAGCACTGGGAAGAAAAGGGTTAAGTGACATCTTGCTACGATCACAATACTGATGATACACAATTATAATTCCATGCCAACAAAATTCATTTCACATTAATATTGACAAGGCATCATTTAACATAAACAAACACCAAGCAATAAGAGTTGAATGTTGAGCCCTGGGACCACATTCTTGGCTTTTTGACGTTATGAAGTCTCCGTGTTCTGGCACCAAGTCTGAATGTGGAATTCCTGGAGAATTACGTATTAAATCCGCAGGAATATAAAAAGAGGTCACCATGAAGGGTGTTATTATATTGAATACCAAAGGAATTAGGAACGACTGGCCACTTGGAGTAAAGCTTTGTCATCTGGATAAATATTTGATTTTGGCTGCTAAAGAAAGGATACTTTTGTTTCACTTCAGTTCACAGCAGTTATAAACCAAAAAATGTGCTCAACCTTTTAAGTGTGAAGGAACTAAGACTTCAGACTTAATTCTGAACTCATTTGCACTGATGGGAATCAGCAATGACTACTGAGAGATTTGGATCAGGCCCCTTATTTTGAAAGTGGGGTTGGACTCAAGTTGGAGAGCTTTGGAGCTGAAGCTAAACTTGTCCAGGTTTTGGGGGTGTTCAGATTGAGAGGTCTGGTTCAGGTTTAGTGTTGGCGTTCAGATTCAGAGCCACTTTTCCAGAGCTTAGGGAAGGAGGACTGGAACTGGGTTTCTGCCTCTGACCCTTTTCTAGTTTAAAATACGTTTGTTTTTAAGAAAATCTCTTTTTAACTTAAACCCTGGAGAGAATTCTGAGTCATGCCAGCATAAGGCTATAATAACTACTCCTACCTACATTATAGCAATATATACATCGGTTACATAAATTCACTCGGGGATGCCTCCTAGCACATACAGCCTCCACAAAGGTACAGTTACAGAAAATAACAATCCTTACATACATCACAGTAATATTGGGAAGTTTAGTTAATGTCTGCAAAGTGCGTGAAGATCTTTGGATAAAAGGTGTTGTCAAAAAGGTTAGGTTCTTTGTGCATTTTGAAATGGGAAAAATCCATACACAGATTTTGCAGCTGTATTTAGTTTATGATTCTACTATTTATTTGGGGATTTTGATGGGAACATGAATAGATCCATAGAATTTAAGGCCAGAAGGGATGATTAGGATCACCTAGTCTGATCTCCTGCATAACTGCATAGATTTCATCAAGTGATTTCTACAACAAGAGCACATTTTTTAGAATGATATCCAACTTTGATTTAAAGACTTCAAGTGCATTGGTTTTTGGCATTATTTGATGAGCTCTAGTCATTACATGGTTTAATGTGCACATCAGCAACAATAAACCATGCTAAAATATTGTTGGGCCACACACATCCATCACATCCTATGGTAAGTTGTTCCAATAGTTAATTACTCTCATTATTAAAAATGTGTTTTGTCTAGCTTCAGTTTTCAACCATTGGAACTTGTTATGCTTTTGTCTGCTAAATTAAAGAGCCATCTATCAGAAATCTTTTCCCCACTTATAGAAGGTGATCAAGTCAATTCTTAACCTTCTCTTGTGTAAACAAAATAGATTGAGCTTATTTAGACTGTTACTATAATTTAAAGCATGTTCTGCAGACCTCAAATCATTCTTGTAGCTCTTTTCTGAACTCTTTCCAATTTCTGAACATCCTTTTCAAAGTGCGGACACCAGAACTGGACACACTATTCCAGCAGTGGTCTCTCTAATGCCATAGAGATTCATTTATCCACTCCTCACCTGTCAGCCTCTGAATTATTTTTCTCTATAAATGGTGATAAAATCTGAACACACTGAAGACGTGGGCAGCATGTTCTGTTTCTGGAGGCCCACCACTAATAAGTAATGTCTCAGATGAGGTAGCAGGATCCATCCCTGGTGTGGAAGGGAAGGCCTTATGACTGACTCATACCATCCCAACAAACACACCCTTGAGTTTAGTATTTGAAACCCAAACTCTGTGAATATAGGACCATTAATATACTGATGTACACTGTGAGGATCTGGGCCATTAATTTAACAAAAAATCTGAATTCCTTTCTACACAGTGAAATGATACAATAAAGTGATTAAAAACACACCAAAAACTTACTCATAATTGCCTTTTTTGGATGCTATATGAAGAGGTAATAAACCATCCTTATTGGTTTTGTTAGCATCTGCACCTTGGGACAAGAGAAACTCCACCACCTTTTCATGTCCATTTTTACAGGCTTCATAAAGAGCAGAGGCACTATCGCTGGCTTGGGTGTTGATATCAGCCCCTAGGAGCACAAAAAAAAAAATTGAAGAGCTAAATGGCTAGAATCAGGTGTAACATATTTTGGATCAACAGCCCAAGTCTCCATGACTTGCCTAAGGTTCCAACTACAAAACTGCCATTAAGGCCAATTGATTGCTCATATTTCCCTAACACCATTTGCTGGGCTGGGGTGAGAGTGAGGGCAAGGCGATAAAAGAACAGCTTATGTCTTCTTCACTGTGTTTTTGCAATGAGGTAAATGTTTTCCTCAGTGCTTAGGGACTGAGTGTAACAGGGTATTCCTTGGGGCCGGCCAGTACACCAAGGACAAACCATTGCATAAAATTGGTAATACACTACATAGGAAGAGAGATTAAACAGGAGTACTCACAAGATAATACCCACAAAGGGTGTCTACAGTTAGATTCTGGTCATAAGCCCAACCCCACCCACCCCATTTTCTTTACCATGTTTAAATATGGTTGAGGAGAAATCATGTTAAAACATGGCCTTCTCTTGCCTGCGTGGACAGAGAAAGTCCTATGTTTTATAACCCTGTGTTGAAGAACCATGTTTTAATCCTTGTGCATATACCCAGGCTAAAAGATGATTCTGTAACATGGTAGGGTTTTTGCATTTGATTTTATTTTTTGCATTATTTGACTAGCTCTAGTCATTACATGGTTTAATGTGCACACCAGCAAAAATAAACCATGATCAAATATTGTTGGGCCACAACCATATTGAAATGTTGTTATTTTTGTGGCACAGTTTTAGGACCTGAAAACCTGTGTCAATTTCCAAACCTGGGCTCCCATTGTAATACACAGTGCCACTCCACCTTCAGGCTGCCTGATCTATGGGTATCCCAAAATGAATTACAATCCATTGGTTTTCTGCTTCCCAAACTCTGATAAGAAGGAAAACAAAAAACAAAAAAACCCTACAGTCTATCAGTCTTTTGTTTGGGCATGAAAACTCCCTGCCAAAGAGAACATTTCCCCCCTAGCTGAAACATCTGTGTTTTGTTTGGCAATTTAAAGATACTGTAGCTCGAAACACCAGGAGAATTTCAATGACAAAACACAAAACAGGGCTACTTTCTTAATGAGAAATAAATGAAATCTTTCTTTTTTATTTATGGCAAACATTGTTTATTGTAAAAAAACAATTATATTATTACTGAGGTTCTCAGCAGGTCTTTTATGGCTTGAAAATATTGGGCAGTTTTATTGGATTTTCCTCAAAATTGAACTTTAAGGGCATACTAACATGTAATTGAGTTGAACCACAAATCATATTCAAATCAGTGTTTAAAGCACGATGGAGTAACTGGTTAGTTTTCAATGTCACATAAAGCTGACTTGTGAAAAATGTGAACTGGAAAGCGAGCAATATTTTTTTGTTCTCTATCAGCCATAACTGCAGTCTATATTTTTACAACCACATATCTTTCTTTAGAGATTTTTCTTATCTTCATTGTGGTTTAGTTCTTATTTCATCAATATATTTCTATATGTTGGGCCTGATTCTCATTTACTCATTTACTTATTCTCATTGAAGGAGGCTGTGTAAAGGAGACAGAGTGGGAGTAAATTATATTTGCATCCACTTCTAAGGTGCTTTTACATGACAAAAGTGATGTAAGTGGCCTTAGTGTAAATGAGAATCAGGCCCACCACATATTGTCTGATTCCCAGCTGGTGTAAATCTGGCTCATTATTATTTGATAAACTACATAAAATTTGTGGAAATTAATGACATGGTCTCCCTTTATTTGCTGGGGCCAAGCTATCATTTCTTTGTAAGGGGTGGTGAAGCCAAAGGGTTGGTTTTACATGCATCAGGACATGCCAGGAATCTGCTCTGGTGCATGCGTAGGAGAGATTTTAAGGTTATGAACCCACCTGAGAAGAAGTGAGCACAAAGACTCATGGGACTACAGGAGAGAGCTGGATTCTAAAAGGCCTTTCTGGGGCGGAAGTAATATGAGATGTGACTTCTTGACTCATTAAGAGAATCAAAATATTCTTATTCTTCCTCTGACTGACTAAGAAATACATTCTTCCTGGGCCATGTCCTGCTTGCCTTACTCACAACAATAGACTTGATAACTTCCAAGGGACTAACTCCTTACATGAGTAATGAGAGCAGGATTTGGCCTTACCTAGGGACTCTAAAATCCTCCCCCCCCCAACACTAATAAACTTATTTAGTGCTTTTCAACCGCAAAGTGATTTACAAACACCTCCTCATTAATCCTCCTGGTGCCCCTATGAGGTGGGAATGGTGAGTATGGTATCTCCTTCTGTAAAATGGGGATAATGAGGTAACCAGCCCCAATGCAGGTGTACAAGTGTGGAAGGTACAAGAAGTCTTCTCCCCTCTGTGCCCCTTGCTAAAGGGTTGGACAAAAATCACATAGATTTCCAAGACTGATCCTTGCCCTCTGGAGCACAAGCCACTTGAAAAGGGATAGGGAGGGAAGAAACCAAGCTAAGGTCCCTTCTACCACCTCGTCAGCCAACAGAGCTGGCTGTCCGAGAAAGGGAGTGTACGCTGCACCCTCCTACAGATGGACAGTGCTGCACTTTCTCTGCACGATGAGGAGCTCTAGGAGGCTTTGTGCCCCTCACTGCTCCCACTGGAGACCTGTGGCTCCATAACTCCTACTCAAGGGCTATGGCTAAAAGCTACAAGAATAAATGGACACAAATCTGACATCAGGATTCATAACATTCAAAAATGCAGTAGGAGAACACTTCAATCTCTCTGGTCACTCAATAACAGACCTAAGAGTGGCAATTCTTCAACAAAAAAACTTCAGAAACAGACTCCAATGTGAAACTGCAGAACTGGAATTAATTTGCAAACTGGAAACCATCAGATTAGGCCTGAATAAAGACTGGAAGTGGTTGGGTCATTACAAAGCCTAAACCTAATTTCCCCAATACTAATTTCCCCCTACTGTTACTCACATCTTCTTGTCAACTGTCTGAAATGGGCCACTCTCATTACCACTTCAAAAGTTATTTTTCCTTCCTTGGTATCCTGCTGTTAATTGAATTGTCTTGTTAGACTG